CGACAGAACCCACCGAGCTGTAACAACTGGTCCTGGCCTCGCCATCCTCGGCAAACTGCCAGACTTGGTTCTTGAAGTACGATTCCAGCTCAGCCCGTTTTGCCTCCATCATCTGAGCTCGCTGCTGCACTGTCATGCTCTTCTCCTTGGCCTCCACACGAGCCAGCCATGCCTCATCGATGCCGAGCTCGCCTTCGATGACAGTCCATCCTTCAGGGAGGTTGTTGTCGAAGGTATCCACCACATAGGCATCGACAAAGAGATCGTCGTCGTCATCGTCTTGGTCCGGAAGGGGTGTGTCTCGTGCGCTGGCAGCAGCACCAGCCTGGGGAAGTGAAGAGGTAGAGGAAGCGGCAGCATCCACGCGGGCACGTTTGTCGGGCGGCGGCGAGGGCAGAGGGCGCAGGCTCCGGCTCGACAGTGCTTATGCGGCGGGTGGGCGGGCGCTGTCGAGAAAGCACGTCCTGAAACGCAAGCTCAACCACACCAGGCACGGGAGGAGGCGGTTCCACAGGTTCGCTGTCAGCGTCGCTGGGGTGGTCCGTAGGCGCAAACTCCGAGGGAATACCATCGGAGAGGAGACCGAGGTTGTCCTCCAGAAGCGGTTCGTTGACAGTGATGTCCTTGAACTGCGTCGTGCTGCGCGCCTTGAGCTCCTGTAGCACCTCAAGAGCTGCGGCCGGATCCGCCGCAACATTGTAGCCAGTCTCCGCTATGACGGGCCGCACCTGGTGGGGTGCGCAGCGCAGCAGTGAGGTCCCATGGGTCAGCCAGATGACCCATTCTGTTCCGTGGTCGTCGGTCTCAATCGCCACGACGCGGGCTGGCCCTCGCCAGCGGTTCTTCTGAAGAATGCCAGCTCCTTGTATCCTCCAGAAGAAGACCTTCTGTCCCACCCTTGGCACGGCCTGGTCGGTCTCGCGGTAGTTCCGGTTCATTGCCCTCCGAAGGCGAAGGTCAGTGTCGGCCTTGAGGAAGGCAACTTGCGCAGCCGTGCGGCGCTTCTGGTTGCTGGCAAAGGCACCGACATCATCGTCATCGTCCGGGGCCGCAGGGTTGAAGATCTCGCCAGTCAGGCTGAAGCTGTTCGCGGGAGTTTTGCCAAGCACCCACTGTGCTGGGGAGAAGCCCCGCACAGAGCTCAAGAGGTTGATCTGGCCCGGCACGAAGATGGCAGCCTCTCGCAAACCATGCTTGGAGCGGTCTTGGCGGTCGTCCATGTACCGCTCTAGGCTTCTTCGAACAACCTGGTGTCGGCGCTCCACTGCACCCGGGGCAATCTCCAGTTCAACTCCATGGTCAGAGCACCATTCGCGAATGAGCGTGGCACTCCATCCCTTGGCCTCGTCGATGCGGATGATCTTGGGAACTCCAAAGTGCTTGATCCAGGCCCTTTCCAGCCCTTTCAGAAGCTCCTTGCTCTGCTCGCTGCCCAGCACTCGGATGGTCACGAACCGAGTGGCCTGACACATGATTGTCAGCACACACATCCTTCCATCACTGGTGTCAATCCAGGCAGAGTCGAGCATGAGTCTCTCGTTGAACTCACGTGCGTTGAGTCCGCTTGCAGGAGGGACTCCTGCTGGCTTCTTTCTCTTGAGACAACCAGCGCAGAGGTAGTGCTTGGCGCAGGTGATCACATTCTCGGTGTCCTGGACCTCCTCTAGCATCCGGGCCAGCACGTTTGGCGACGGGTGTCCCAAGTTCTTGTGGAGGCGAGCCACGTAGCTGTAGGCTTGACGTCCCACCTGCTGCTTCAGCTCCTCGTTGACCTTGATCTCTTCGGTCTTGTCCTGGTCGTCCTTGTCGTCTGCAGCAGCCATCTCCACGTCCTGGTCGGCCTCGTCCACGGGGAGCACGTAGTCTGCGGGGCCGTCCCTGACGATGAGCTCGGCGAGCGTGTTGGCGAGTTGGGTCGTGGGGTCGTCGCTGAGGTGCCTGTCGTCGGGTGGCTCTGGTCCGTGTTGGTGTTCCCCTTGGCACTTGCACCCCGCTTGCTCGCACAGGCTCCTCTTGGTGGTCATGTAGCATGTTGGCTTCTTCACGGGGTACACTCTGCCAGCTGCGTCCTTGGAGGTCAGGCCATACATGCACTGGTCGACGTAGGTGGCATGGCCTGGAAGTCTGGAAAGGGCTTTGGTCTTCCAGGCACGGCTCGTCCAGGGATGTTCCAGGTGAGCATGCCTCTTTCCCCGGCGCTGAACCTCGTAGATCAGGGCACAGAACACCAGGATCTCGTCATGGTCACGTTGGCGGTGGCTGCAAAGTCGAGCCCATCCTCGCGCATCGGTGGCCAAGCTTGCCTCGAGGGCAGGGCTCCAAAGCTGGGCCGGGGGAGTGATCAGGATTTCGTCGGGCTCCTCGTGGTGCATTCTCTTGA